AAAATACATTAAAACATAAATTAATGACTAGTTGCAGCTCATAGTTTAGCATAAAAAATATCGTTAGTAAAAAATTATGAGTGAAAAGACACTGAAAATTAGCAAAAAAGTCATAAAAAATATTGTTATTGTTTCTTGGGATTTCATATAAAATTTATACATGGATTTTTTCAAGTTCAAATGTTTTTTTTTACTTTATTTTATGAAGATGTTTCTTATATACTTATAAAATAACCCTATATTTTATCATATAATAATCCTACTTTTGATCTAATTTTTAAAAAAAAACATGTTATTTTTTTAAAAAGAAATTCACAACATGAATTTCAATAAGTCTAAAAATATTCAAACATGCCTGAAGCGTGTCCGTAAGATTTAACAAAAATATTATGGTGGGTACAATAAAATTATTTTAAAAAATATTTAACAAAGTGATATACATATATACACAAAAAAAAAAAATTCAAAATTTGAGGGTGGGCCTAGGCCCCCCTGGCCCTAATATCCCTCCGCCACTAATTGTATAGGAAAGCTCCTAAAATAAAAGTTCGAAAACTACTTTAAATAAACAAATAGAAATAAAAAATGAAACATGTAACAGGGTTTGAGAGAGTTAATGATAGATTATCCTACTTCTATGTTAGAAAGGCCAATCTACATAATTAAATTCTTGGGTGTCATTGGAACCATGTGTCCTCATGCTCCAAGTCCGACCTCTACCATATTATGAACTTTAGTAAAATAACTGAATGTCCATTTCTAACAATACCAACTTCAATTTGATTCGTATTTTTTTTTTTTTGGGGGGGGGGGGAATTGAAATATTTAAAATATGGGTATTTCATTCATAATTAATTTTCTTAAACAGTAGGGTTAGAGAAACTGAGAGAGCATAGCTGGCTAGCACCAATAGATACATGACAAAACGTCACTGTTTAATACCTAATAAAGTAGGATTACTTATATGTCGCTTAGATACTAACCATATATCAACTACTTCATTAATTTGAAGCTAATAAAGCATCTTTGTCGCTTAGATGCTAACTATCAACTACTTCAATGTTGACTGTTTTTAAACATAAAGAAATACAGCGGTGGTTGTGGTGAGTATCTACGATGTCACAGTAGAATATGATTCGATTATATACGTGAGAATGACGTGCGGTCATTCGTAACCTGTGGTGGTCATGCTGGATTCTCATTGGTTGTGGACATACTAGTGTCACTGACTGGTAATCTACACATTGTATTAGGGACAAATCACGCTTTAACCGCCACTTGGCTTAATAATAGAGTTAAACTTACCCAAAAAAACTTACGCTTTAAACCCTGAAATATTTTAAAATTCTGAATTTACTCACCCAAAGATTTCTTTTCTCAGCTTACACCTTCAATATTATAAAATAGTTGTAATGTAACCCTCATACTAACTTTTATTTTTAGTACCATTAAATTCATCTCCGTCGTGTGCACCATGATTTGACAGAAATAGCATCAAAAGTTATTGTGAGAGTCACATTGCAGTCATTTAGCAACATTCAAAATCTAATGTGAAAAAATTAATCTTTCGATACGTAGAGATTAAAAAATTTTAACGTTCAAAGTGATGTTCTCTATAATATATTATTTCAGTAACTTTAAGAGAAAGAAAACTTGAAGTCTTCCTCCCCCACTTCTTCTTAAATTTTTTTTATTTAATTACAATACAAGGTTTTATCTAATTATATATATATATAATTTTCATCTACTTTCATCAAATGGTATAAAATTTATTCCCAATTTTTTTTTTTCGGCCCAAAAATATCAACTTCCTTACACAACTCTCAATATCAGACAACTCAATCAACACATCAATACACTCTCTAACGTCAAAAAATCTCATTAATTCACACATATCTCTCTCTTTATTTTAATTTTAAATCATGTAATTAAAAAAGATAAATTATTATTTAAAATATAAATATTATAGAATTAATGCTCAATTTTTAATATTATATAATGTGTTTAGGCACATAATTATTGTTAATACTGTTATATGTCTTATGTAATTGCCCTCTCACTCTACCGACTAACAACTACTTTTTTAATTCATTGTATCACCGACCCTGTGACGTCATATGTTTCTAACACCGTTTTATTTGAAAACAAAAAATCTTTAAACGCCAACAGGGTTCACAAGTCGGTCATAAAACCGGAACCCTGTAGTGTCATGATTTTTTCAACGGAATAGAGATGAATTATAAATTCAGATATTTTGAATTTGAATCTTAATAATTACTTGAGGACAGGTCATAAGAGATTTATCTCTCATAAATACCTCATTCCCACTGTAGATAGTCTTTCTTTGACCGGACTGAAGAGGAGATTAGTTGAAGTGAGTGTGTTGGAAAAAATTGGATGCAAATAAAGTTAACGGCAGGGTGAGGCGTGGACTAGGTCGCTCTCTTAAGATGATTCGCGCCCCTTTATGAAAGGATCACAGCTTCATAGCGCAGAAGGTAATAGCGCGTCGTCCCTAGAATACAACAACCCAGCCTATTGACTTTTGCTTCACTCAAATCTGTACAATCAAATGAAGCAGAAGCTTCACACACACCTTTGAATATTCCCCAGAAAATGCCCCTTTATGAAAGGATCACAGCTTCACAACGCAGAAGATAGTAGCGCGTCGTCCCCAGAATATAACAACCCAGCCTATTGACTATTATTTCACTCAAATCTGTACAATCGAATGAAACAGAAGCTTCACACACACCTTTCAATAATGCATATTGCCCCAGAAACGCTCTTTTATGAAAGGATCACAGCTTCACAGCGCAGAAAGGTAGTAATACGTCGTCCCTAGGATATAATAACACAGTCTATTGATTGTTGCTTCACTCAAATCTGTACAATCAAATGAAGTAGAAGCTTCACACATACTTTTGAATATTGTCCAGAAACTCTGAAATTTTACATACCTTTGAATATTGCATATTGCCCAGAAACACCCCTTTTATGAAAGGATCATAGCTTCACAGTGCAGAAGGTAGTAGCGTGTTGTCCCCAGGATACAACAACTCAGTTTATTGACTGTTGCTTCACTCAAATCTGTACAATCAAATGAAGCAGAAGCTTCACATGCACCTTTGAATATTGCCCAAAAACTTTGAAACTTTATTTGTATCTCTTCCGCTAGTCCCACCCCCTTTATAAAAGGATCATAGCTTCACAGCGCAGAAGGTAGTAGCGTGTCGTCCCCAGGATACAACAACTCAGTCTATTGATTGTTGCTTCACTCAAATCTGTACAATCGAATGAAGCAGAAGATTCACACACACCTTTAAATATTGCCCAAAAACTTTGAAATTTTATTTGTATCTCCTCCGCTAGTCCCACCCCTACGCACGTGAGAGTCTCAAGACCTCTTTTTGATTCAAATGTTAGATAACACTAGTACATATATATATACACAAGTATCTTGGAATGTTTAGTGGATGTGGGATTTAGTTCCCACATAAAAAATACTCTTTTAGTTAAAATATTCTAACAGAGTGTAAACTGGCTCAAACAGTTCTAACCGTTAAACTAAAAAAAAAATACACTGTTGGAAAATAAAACAATTTGGGCTAATTATAATTTTAACTCCTAAAGTATAACAAAATTTTCCCAAGATTAAAGTAACTATAATTTTTACTTTAATACTTGAAGCTTTTATTTTTTGAATTTGGTCTCATATTCCTTATTTAAATCTTTGAACCTGAACCAAAATACGAAAAATAAAACTTATAGGCCTATGCCATATGGATTGGACTATTCACATGTAAATTAAAATCTTTGAGTTTACACTTACATAAAATTTGGTATTTTAAGGACTAAAGTCAAAGTTAAAAAAAAATGTATAAAATAGAGTGAAATGTTTTAGAAAACTTCAATACTATTCTATTCTTGCAGAGAAATAATTTTATAGACAACAACATTTAACGAAAAATGTATAAGACTCATATTTTCACTAAATAATGATAGAGTAGAGATTTAGTTTGACTTTTTTTTATTATAGAGAGTTAAATTGAGTTTTCTAGTCCAATTAAAGATGTTATTGAAAATAAATTTTGAAGTGCTGATTCTCTAAATAAAAAATTAAATAGGTATAGAGAGTATAGTGGGGAGACTCTACTGTCAAGAAGAGCCCTGCGACATCTTCTAACATAATGCCAACAGCACCTATTTTTAAGATGGTTACTAAGAATCCAGGTTTTGTTCTTTTTTGTCACACCTCACTTTCCTTAGCCTTTTAAATGAATTTTCAATGATGTGACTTATTTTGTTTCTAAAATATATAATTATAACACAAACTTGGAGTAAATAGCACTCACATTGTTTGACATTTAGTTTTATTATAAGAACACCCCTTCATATTTTAAAAATGGCACTGACACCCCAATAGATGAACGACATTAACAAAATTATTAAGGGACTATTTTTCCCTTAAATAATTGATTAAATACATGCACAAATCCAAACCCATCGTCCCATCCCCAAGTCAACTCCATGACGTGTGACTCGTGACCTAGAACCCTTTATGCCCAAAACCCCAACAATTCAACACCATCCTTTTTCCTTATTCACTCACACCACCCCCAACCTCCTGCGTTCACAGTCACCACCACGTCTCTCTCTACGCAAATTTCCTCTCAGTCTTTCTCTACCTTCCACACAATCACTTTAGGTGTTGCAATGGTGGGTGGATGATTTTGAAACCCTAATCTTTACGATGGAATTAACTCCCCTCTTTTTGTCTTTCAAATTTTACACGATGGTGGGTGATTTTGAAACCTTAACTGCCCCCTTTGTCTTTTAGATTTGAGACATTTCAATGGTGGTTGGCGTTTTTGTTCTGATGATGGTGGTGATTTTTGGTGCGTATTACTGTGTGGGGCGGCGACGTTGGGGATGAGAAGGATCATTTATAGAGGTGGTTGATGATGGGTTTGGTTTAGGTAGTTTGGTGTTGGTTGATGATGGGTTTGATCCATGTGGTGGTTTTAGTGGTGGTGGAGGCCGAGGCGAAGGTGGAGGTGGTTTTAATGAGTTATGGTCGTTCTTTCTCTATTCTTGTGGTGTTTGGAGGTGTTGGTGGCAGATGCACTATTGCAACAGGGGTTCACAGTTGTGGTGGATCTGGTTGGGTTTGGAGGTGTTGGGTGGATTTAGGCGTTGGTGTAGGTCGTGGAACAAGGGGCGACGGGCAACAAGAGTAAGAATTTATATAATTAAATAAATAATAAATAAAAATAAATTTAATATGGGACAACTGGATAGGTAATTATTAATTTTTTTAAAAAAAATTGATTAATTTTTAAATTGTACTAATAATCCCAAATATTATTTAATAAACCAAAAATTTTAATATTTAACTTATTAATGTGATAGATTATGAAATTAAACATTTAAGTGTTAAATTTTAATATATATGAAATATATAGATTAACAAAAATAAATGAGAGGTTGTGTAAATTTGTAGGGTAAGAAAAACATATGTTTGAATTCTTAAACTTAATTTTGGAGGATATTTTTAGTATTTTAAGAATTTTTATTAATGACATCAGCTTTAACTGTTAATAATTTTAATGTCTATTAATTAAAAGGTGTACGAATATTGTAAGTTTTAAATATGAAGGGAGTTCGGTGTTATTTTTAAAATATGACATAGTGTTCATGTAATAAAATCAAATGCTTGGGGTATCAGTGATATCTACCCTACAAACTTTTTTTTTTGGGGTCAGGAACACTATGCGAATAAATTAAACATAATTTATAAATAATATAAAATTGATGTAATATGAATCAAACTCTAATAACATTAAATAAATAAATCATAAATTAATTTTTTTTTTTAATAAACTAAAACACAAATACAAGAAAAATTCAAGAAAAAAATAACCAGATGTAGCCAAGCCAAGCCAAGCATTACAGTTGATGCAAGTGTAATAGTGCAGACAAAAACTCATTCAGAGTTCTGCTGTGGCTGCCTGCATAGGATTCCAGTCAACACATGCATTGAAAGTTCGCACTGGTGATAACATGCGCACATGGTGTTCTGGATAATCCGTTACCTGCTATCTCTATCTCTATCTCTATCTCTATCTGTATCTCTCTTTCCATACAAAAAAACACACTCTCTCTCTCTCTCTCTCTCTCTCTCGAGCGTATGCATTTGCAAAGACTTCTGCTTAGCTAGAGACCTTTCTCTCATTCTAAAAAGTCTCTCTCTCTGTCTCTCTCTCTCTATCTATCTATCTATCTTTGAGATTTTCGTAGATGATGGATAGCCAAGGTGAAAGCAAGGCTATACCACCAGGTTTGTTCTTGGTTTTTCTTGATGCATTTACTTGATTTTGATCCTGTTTTCCTTTGAGGTTCTTAGTTGTTGGAAAATTATAAATCGGTTTTTATTGTTTTGTTTATTTTCATTAATAGGTGCTGATCTTGGTCCTCTCTCTTTTTTCTCTCCTACACTGATGTGTGTATAGCTGTATATTAGTACGATCATTTTAGTGAATCTTTGTTTGTTTTACTCTCTCTCTATCGACGCTCTTGCTTTATAATCACTTGGGTTTTACAATGTTGACTTGTTGCTTTCTTAGTCTTCTCAATTGTTCTTGATTTTTTCTGTGAGGAATGTTATTATGGGATCTACTTGGTTTTCCCAATTTACAGTACTCACTTTTTTTATAGTTAAGCTGTTTATGAAAGGGTTTTCTTGAATTTTCAGGGCATGAGAATCATGGGGTTTATATTTGTCACAAATGTGGTTGGCCTTTTCCAAACCTCCATCCCAGTTCCAGACACAGACGAGCCCACAAGAAGATCTGTGGAACCATTGAAGGGTATAAGCTGAATGACTTGGAAGACCATACCCATACGGCTGTTTCCGATGATGAACATGTTTCCGATGAAGATGGGAGAACACCAAGTGAGAACTCTTGCTTTGATCACATACTTTTCCTCTGTTTAGTTAGTTTTCTTGAATTATTCTGTACTGATACTTGTGATACAACCAATTTAAGGTCCAAAAATTGAGAAGAAAAGTGCCAAAGGGTTTGGAAGTGGCGGAGTTGGTGAAAAATCAAATAGATCAGAAGATGAAGTGTTTTCAGATGCTGTTGCTGAGTTTACAGATAGTGGGTTTAGCCCAGGGATTGAAGGGCGGGTGGAGAGTACTAGAGAATTGAATAAGAATGTGGAAAAAGTTGTGGAGGTTGATAAGGAAAACAGCCAATCATTGCAGGTTGAAGCAACTGCTGGTAAGCATTTATTGAGCTCTGTGATCTTTGGATTTGAGTTACTTTTTGGACATTATAGTTAATAGCCTACTGATGACTACATTAAAGAATCTGCCCATTAGTTTTATTGTTCTGGTATAGATCTTGGGAAATCTAGAAAAGGGTATAAGTAAATGGATCAAGGGAGAGGATTCATTGTCTAAATTCCTTAAGCATTAATGAATAAAAACATAAGATGGATGTGATCAGCATTAATAAAGACATAAGAGGGATGTGATCATTCAATGCTCTTCTCTTGGATTGTGCTGCAAACTTCAACAGTTCAACCCATTCATCTTTTCAAATTTTGTGTTTGAGTCTTTAGCCGTAGTGATTTGCATTCAATGAAGGGTATATGTTGTAATCCTGTAGGCAATAGAGGAAGCAGCATGAGTCCTTTGTGTGTATTGGTCAATAATTATGCAGATTTTGTGCAAATATGACGATTTTGATTGAACAAAATATTGGACATCAGTCAGCCATATTAGAATTTTCTAATCCATTTGAGTGTTCATGGAAAACTTGATCAGTTGAAAAGAGTGACAAGATTTGGAAGGATCATGGATTAGGATACCTAGGACTGGCTTTTCCTAATGGCAAACTGGAGAAATTTGAATAGGTCTGTTGAGCAGAAACCTTTTCATGGTTCGTTGGATAAATAGCCCTTATTTATGCATTTTGTCTTGAAGTCATGGAAAATTACCAGGAAAGGGCATGGGATATTTTTTTAATAGGAATCTAAATTTCGTAGATGGATGCAAAATATAAGATTAGGACGAGTGGAATGGAAAAATGTTGTGCCAAAATTCAAGATGATAGAGCTGCACAGAAACATAATCAAGCTTGGTATGTTCCTATCAAAAAAATAAACAATCTTTTTCCAGGTGACAATGTGTTTTTTTAACTACAGCAAAACACCTTGCATTTTTTCTGGTTGTTTGTGCGGTTAAAAGAAGTTTGTTTGAATACTCAAGTAAATGTTATCTTAGATGATTGTAAGACCACAATATTGATATAATCAAACCTTTTTATGTTTATCTTTTTACAATTTTTTATTTGAATTAACAACAAATAGTGTCTTCTTATTGTATTCTGTCCTGATGATATGATTACTTGGTAAAGTAGATCACTTTTAGAGGAATGAAAGGTCTTGGAAGCCTTGGTAAAGGTGTGTCTCTTTGGAACTGTTCTATCATTGCTACATTTTGGGTTATTTGTAAAGAAGATAGGCTAGAATTTTTAAAGATCAGAATGAGTGTTTGGTTGGGTAATGGGTCCTAGCTTTATTTTGGGTTTCGGTTTCTAAGGATTCAAATAAATTTTTCTTTTTGCAATTTCATGAGATGGAGAAACTTGTGATTTATAGACTTTTTACGAATTTTTTCTCTTTGTTTTTTTTTCTCTCGATTGGAATTCACATCCAAAATTTTTGATGTTTTGCTCAATTTTTGCTAATACAGGAGTTTCATTTCCTATAAAAAAAAACTATCTTTTGTGTATCTTTAAACACGTTGTCAACTATGTAATGGACTTCAATAGCATGAATGTTCCAAAATAAGAAATTATTTTCCGTTTTTGACATTAGAATGATTTTTTTCTTTGTTTTTTTTTCACCTTTCTTTATATACCATACAAGGGAAAATAATTAGACTTTCTTCATTTATCCCTCCTTCCCCCTTTTAATTTCCCTTGTCTTCTCCTCCCATTAACAAAGTAGAAAAACAACATGCAACTAGTAAGTGTAATGTTTTGCCTCACATTGACTTTTATATTATCTTTGTGAACGCAAATTGTATTTGTCTCTTTGTCATTTGGGTGCTTTACATTTGAGATTCACGTTTGGCTGTTTTCCTTGGACTTTTTATATACGATGCTTACTCTCCTTCTTTTGTGAGAAATAAAGTAAGAGTTACATTTGTGCAGTTTTGTTCTTATAAACAATTATACTTTCTCAATGATTAGATGCCACTTTTTGCTGTAAGAATAGTGTAGGCCTATTTACCATGAGATAGAGTGGAAATAGCCTATCTGTTTGTAGAGATAAGGCTATCTAACCCTCCCTAGATCCCGCAATGGCAGGAGCCTCGTGCGGGTATGTCCTTTTTATTTACCATAAGATAGAGTGTGTAGCAATGCTCAGGGTTTATTCTACAGGCATTCCCCCCCCCCCCCCCCCCCCCCCCCTCCCTCCTT